TAACCAAGGTAGCATGGAACTATGATCTTAGATCTTCAATCTCCTCCATGAGCCACTGGCTGAGGCAGGAAATTTTAAGTGAGGCCAGCCTGAGAGATATGTCTTTGACTGAAAAAAAGTAAAGGAACAACAACAACCCAAAAAAAAATTAGAGTTAACAATTCAGTGATCTTAGGTATAAAAAGACATATATAAAGCATTTTACACTGGTTACCAATGGAGTCTAAAGTTTGTCTGGCAGAGAAAATTGGTAGTTTGTTATCTGGAGTTCAGGATGCCAATTTGAATCTTGTTATCTTAAAGATCAGTTGGCAGAAAAAGACCTTTACAGAGTATAGGCTGGATTCCACATGAGGTATGTCCAACCTTTACATTGCATATATCTCATTACCTATAGCCTTATAAGAGGTTCATTATTACTGACTTTATTTTTTAATTTTTTGGTCGGTCATGGGGCTTGAACTCTGGGCCTGGGCGCTGTCCCCTCCGCTCTTAGGCCCAAGATGAGCGCTCTACCGCTTGAGCCACAGCGCTACTTCCAGTTTTCTAGTGGTTTATTGGAGATAAGAGTCTCACAGACTTTCCTGCCCGGGCTGGCTTTCACTGTGATCCTCAGATCTCAGCTTCCTGAGTAGCTAGGATTACAGGCATGAGCCACTGGTGCCTGGCTCTGACTTTATAATAGGAGTGTATTACCTTAAACTTTTTTTTTTTTTTTTGGTCAGTTGTGGGGCTTGGACTCAGGGCTTGGGAGTGTCCCTGAGATTTTGCACTCAAGGTTAGCACTTTACCACTTTGAGCCACTGTTTTCTGGTGGTTAATTGGAGAAAAGAATCCCACGGACTTTCCTGCTTGGGCTGGCTTTGAACTGTGATCCTCTGATCTTAGCCTCCAGAGTAGCTAGGATTACAAGCATGAGCCACTGGCACCTGGATAGAGTTTTTCTTTTATATTACTTTCCTGTAGAGTTGCAGATTCCTCAGTTTCCTGAAATTGAACCAAAAAGAGCAAGGCTAACAGAAATCTAAATTTTAAGTACTTGTCTAGCGAGTGTGAGGCCCTAAGTTCAATTCCTAGTATTGAAGAAAAGAATATAAAATTGAAAATAGGAATGTAAACAATAACAATAATTTTAAAGGAATGACTGTGGCCTATAATATTCTGCTCTATAATCAAGGTAGTTTAACAGTAGATGTAATTTTGCCCATTATTTCAGAAGCCTCCCAGTAAAATTAATCTGGTCATATTTCTAAATTTGGCTTCAATGTGTTCAGATTTTAAAAAAAATTTTTTATTGTCAAGGTGATTTACAGGGGGATTACATTTAAATATGTAAGATACTAAGTACATTTCTTGTTGAACATTGTTACCCCCTCCCTTGTTTTCTCCCACTTTCCCTCCTCCCATAGATTTTTTTTTTTAATTTCAGAGTATTTTTATCTGCAGTTACAGAGTTTGAATATACTCATGATTTATGTTCAGCATGACCGTTTATACTTCTTTTACAGGTAATGTGGAACACAGCTGTCCACTCTGAATTTATGCATGATCACGTTGATTATGGATTTCAGAGCTGTGAAGGAAAATTCAATTGGCGGTAAGTGTTAAGAGGTTCAATTTATAATGATAGGTATTTTCATAACCTAGCCATAAACTTTTCAGAGGGTATTACTGTGGTAAAAATGTACAACATAGGACTGGGGATATAGCTCAGTGGTAGAATTCCTGTGTATGATGTACAAAGCCCTGGATTTATTCTCTCTCACTCCTGTTAAAGTCATACCACAAAATTTATAGTTTCAGACATTTTTTTTTTTTTTTGGGTCCGGTCGTGGGGTCTGAACATTGGGCCTGGACACTGTCCCTCAGCTCTTCAGCTCAAGGCTAGCGCTCTGCCATTTGAGCCATAGCACCACTTCTGGCTTTTTTTTTCTGCTTATGTGGTGCTGAGGAATTGAACCCAGGGCCTCATGCACGCAAGGCAAGCGCTCTACCACTGAGCCACCTTCCCAGCCCCGGTTTCAGACATTTTTAAGTGTACAGTTCAGTGGCACTGAGTGCATTCACAGTGTTGGGCAGCCAGAACTTCTCCCCAGTCTCAAACAGGAACTCTGTATGCATTAAGCAATGACTCTCCCCTAAGCCCTGATAACGCCATTTTATTTCTGTCTTTGTGAACCTATGCTAGATACTTAACAGAAATAGAATGATATAATATTTTCCATTCCTGCTTGAATTCACTTAGTGTAAAATTGTCAAGGGTTTGTCTAT